TTCCTCTCACTATTACCATTTGATTTTACTGAAACACTTTAATGGACGTAACATGAAAAAATGATCTACAATATGAGGATATTACAATATGAGTAAGAGGCTCATGAGGATATTATTTATGAGCAGATGGCCGCAGACCCTGCCAAGAGGAAGACGTTCGTGGACTCCACTCTAGCGCTTCTGAAGGCGCATGACTTCGATGGCATGGATCTGGACTGGGAGTACCCAGCACAACGAGGTGGCGTTCCAGAGGACAAGGTCAGCTAACTATCTCTCACTACACTCACTCATCGTGGCGCACTGTATCTCTCTTATTCGATATATCTCACTATATTCACTCATTATGTCTCATTGTATATCTCTTATTGGCTAACTCTCGCTACATTCACTCATCATGACTCACTGTATCTCTCTTATTGGCAGTGGCAGACTGAAGGGAACTAATGTCTGTCGTATTTTTTAATTAGTAGTCGTGGTTACGAGCAAGATGGCGGGTAACTACGACTAATGCCTCTTCTTTGTTTCTCGCAGGTGAACTATGCCATCCTGCTGGACGAGCTGAGCGAGGCGCTGCACGCCAACGGTATGATCCTGACGGCGGCGGTGTCGGCCGGAAAGGACAAGATTGATAGCGGATACGACGTGCCCAAGATGGCCCAGTCCCTAGACATCGTCAACCTGATGACGTACGACCTCCACGGCGACTGGGAGCCCTTCGTACACCACCAGTCCACCCTCTATCCCTACTCCGAGGACGATGGGGACAACGCCAATCTCAACGTCGTAAGTGCTGTGGCCTGCGTTGTGCCTGCTGGAGATGGTGTCCATCTGCACCACCCCTGACGGGTATATAGTACCGCATTTACCACCTCCTCAAAAACTGTATTGTTCGTCGCCATAAATATTATTGAATTGTTCTCTTTGCTAGGTATATAAGCATCGTCGTCCTCTTCTAGATATAAATTACGCCTTTTCTCCTCTACTTTATGGTCTCATCTCCCTCCTCCGTTCCCAGGTATATGGAGTAAACCCATCTCAGAGTGACTGCTTCACACAGTGTTGTGTGACACCCATCCCCAGTGTCTGCAGTAACCTCTCTCTCCCTTATTATAGGGAACGACCCCTTCTTCCCCAAGTGTCTGCAGTAACCTCTCTCTCCCTTATTATAGGGAACGGCTCTTCTTCCCCAAGTGTCTGCAGTAACCCCTCTCTCCCTTATTATAGGGAACGGCTCTTCTTCCCCAAGTGTCTGCAGTAACCCCTCTCTCCCTTATTATAGGGAACGACCCCTTCTTCCCCAAGTGTCTGCAGTAACCTCTCTCTCCCTTATTATAGGGAACGGCTCTTCTTCCCCAAGTGTCTGCAGTAACCTCTTTCCTATACTAGTGTTCACAGTGACCCTTCCCTCCTCTATTATTTAGAGTGACTACCGCCTTCCACTAGTGTTGCCAACACCAGAGCACCCTCTCCACTTTCTTCACAATTAAGAACATAAGAATAAATGAAACTGCAGAATGCCTGTTGACCTTACGAGGCGGCACATATCTATATCTACCCTATCTCGCCCCAGGACTTCGCTGTCAACTACTGGATAGAGTTGGGGATGCCGAGCACGAAGATCGCCCTTGGGGTGCCGCTGTACGGCCGGTGCTGGACCTTGGACGACTCCAGCCAGACCGACTACTACTCCCCGGCCAGCCAGCCGGGAGAAGCCGGCCCCTGGACCGAGGAGCCCGGCATGATGGGATACAATGAGGTCTGTTTTGGACGCCAATTACGATGTCCTTGTGATCAATTACAAATAAATCAGGGAAAAGAGTAAACAATAAGCCATAGATGTATACCTCTTACACAGAGCGTCATCCCGATATCTAATTTAACATCCGGGTATATGTAATGGGGAATGATGTGTTGGGAGACACTTACACAGCCCTCGCTCTTGGCCTCCGCAGATCTGCTACGACCAGACGAACAACCCAAATAGTTGGACCATTGAGACGGCCCCAGGCATGAACGAGCCCTATGCTTACCGTGGCCGCCTCTGGTGCTCCTACGAGAACCACACCTCTGTCATCATCAAGGTAGGGATCCCAGGTTCTTTTTCAAGGTAGAGAGCCTATGATCTTGTCCAGGGAGGGAGCCTATAATTTTATCAAGGTAGGGAACCTATGCTTTTATCAAGGCAGGAAACTAATGTTTTTATCAAGTATGTTTTGACCGCTGGGGAAATACCAATAATGATCCGGTAAAGATATTTTATGTTCCCACAGGCCTCGTATGCCAAAGACCACAACCTGGCCGGTATGATGGTTTGGAGCATCGATACTGACGACTTCCGCGGTGACTGTAACGGTCGTCCCTATGATCTCATCAAGACCATGGTGGAGACCTTCACTGGTACCATTATCACACTCCCGCCAACCCAGCCCACCACCACCAGGGTGAGTCCCTCGGTCTGACTCTACTTTACATTAGTTGTTAAGGCGCCAATGGTTTCTGACTGATTGGTGAGTCAGCAACCAATGAAATGCGCTTTCATTGGCCGTTGAGTCGGAAACGCGCTCTCATTGATTGTTAAGCCAGAAATGCACTCTCATTGGTAAAGCCGGAAACGTGCTCTCATTGGTTGTTGAACCGGAAACGCATTCTCATTGGTTGCTAAATCGGGAACTTAAGATTATAGTTACTTAGGCATCTGGCAAGCGGAAAGTCAGTTGCATAATGTTCCCTTGTGTGTTTCTGCAGGACCCCAACGCGCCGACTACAACCACCATCTCCACCACCACCACCACAGCCAACCCGCCCCCCGATGGTGTCTGCACCCAGCCAGGGAAACCTCCAGTGTATACCTCACTACCTCCAGTGTATACCTCACCTCCAGTGTATACCTCACTACCTCCCTCACTACCTCCAGTGTATACCTCACTACCTCCAGTGTATACCTCACTACCTCCAGTGTATACCTCACTACCTCCAGTGTATACCTCACTACCTCCAGTGTATACCTCACTACCTCCAGTGAATAAGTCACACCTCCAGTGTATACCTCACTACCTCCAGTGTATAACTCACTACCTCCAGTGTATACCTCACTACCTCCAGTGTATACCTCACTACCTCCAGTGTATACCTCACTACCTCCAGTGTATACCTCACTACCTCCAGTGTATACCTCACTACCTCCAGTGTATACCTCACTACCTCCAGTGTATACCTCACTACCTCCAGTGTATACCTCACTACCTCCAGTGTATACCTCACTACCTCCAGTGTATACCTCACTACCTCCAGTGTATACCTCACTACCTCCAGTGTATACCTCACTACCTCCTCACACCTCCAGTGTATACCTCACTACCTCCAGTGTATACCTCACTACCTCCAGTGTATACCTCACTACCTCCAGTGTATACCTCACTACCTCCAGTGTATACCTCACTACCTCCAGTGTATACCTCACTACCTCCAGTGTATACCTCACTACCTCCAGTGTATAAGTCACACCTCCAGTGTATACCTCACTACCTCCAGTGATATCACTACCTCCAGTGTATACCTCACTACCTCCAGTGTATACCTCACTACCTCCAGTGTATACCTCACTACCTCCAGTGTATACCTCACACCTCCAGTGTATACCTCACTACCTCCAGTGTATACCTCACTACCTCCAGTGTATAACTCACTACCTCCAGTGTATACCTCACTACCTCCAGTGTATACCTCACTACCTCCAGTGTATACCTCACTACCTCCAGTGTATACCTCACTACCTCCAGTGTATACCTCACTACCTCCAGTGTATACTACCTCCAGTGTATACCTCACTACCTCCAGTGTATACTCACTACCTCCAGTGTATACCTCACTACCTCCAGTGTATACCTCACTACCTCCAGTGTATACCTCACTACCTCCAGTGTATAAGTCACACCTCCAGTGTATACCTCCAGTGTATACCTCACTACCTCCAGTGTATAACTCACTACCTCCAGTGTATACCTCACTACCTCCAGTGTATACCTCACTACCTCCAGTGTATACCTCACTACCTCCAGTGTATACCTCACTACCTCCAGTGTATACCTCACTACCTCCAGTGTATACCTCACTACCTCCAGTGTATACCTCACTACCTCCAGTGTATACCTCACTACCTCCAGTGTATACCTCACTACCTCCAGTGTATACCTCACTACCTCCAGTGTATACCTCACTACCTCCAGTGTATACCTCCTCACTACCTCCAGTGTATACCTCACTACCTCCAGTGTATATCCAGTGTATACCTCACTACCTCCAGTGTATACCTCACTACCTCCAGTGTATACCTCACTACCTCCAGTGTATACCTCACTACCTCCAGTGTATACCTCACTACCTCCAGTGTATACCTCACTACCTCCAGTGTATACCTCCAGTGTATACCTCACTACCTCCAGTGTATACCTCACACCTCCAGTGTATACCTCACTACCTCCAGTGTATACCTCACTACCTCCAGTGTATACCTCACTACCTCCAGTGTATACCTCACTACCTCCAGTGTATACCTCACTACCTCCAGTGTATACCTCACTACCTCCAGTGTATACCTCACTACCTCCAGTGTATACCTCACTACCTCCAGTGTCATACCTCAGTGTATACCTCACTACCTCCAGTGTATACCTCACTACCTCCAGTGTATACCTCACTACCTCCAGTGTATACCTCACTACCTCCAGTGTATACCTCACTACCTCCAGTGTATACCTCACTACCTCCAGTGTATACCTCACTACCTCCAGTGTATACCTCACTACCTCCAGTGTATACCTCACTACCTCCAGTGTATACCTCACTACCTCCAGTGTATACCTCACTACCTCCAGTGTATACCTCACTACCTCCAGTGTATACCTCACTACCTCCAGTGTATACCTCACTACCTCCAGTGTATACCTCACTACCTCCAGTGTATATACCTCCAGTGTATACCTCACTACCTCCAGTGTATACCTCACTACCTCCAGTGTATACCTCACTACCTCCAGTGTATACCTCACTACCTCCAGTGTATACCTCACTACCTCCAGTGTATACCTCACTACCTCCAGTGTATACCTCACTACCTCCAGTGTATACCTCACTACCTCCAGTGTATACCTCACTACCTCCAGTGTATACCTCACTACCTCCAGTGTATACCTCACTACCTCCAGTGTATAACTCACTACCTCCAGTGTATAAGTCACACCTCCAGTGTATACCTCACTACCTCCAGTGTATAAGTCACACCTCCAGTGTATACCTCACTACCTCCAGTGAATAAGTCACACCTCCAGTGTATACCTCACTACCTCCAGTGTATACCTCCAGTGTATAAGTCACTACCTCCAGTGTATACCTCACTACCTCCAGTGTATAACTCACTACCTCCAGTGTATACCTCACTACCTCCAGTGTATACCTCACTACCTCCAGTGTATACCTCACTACCTCCAGTGTATACCTCACTACCTCCAGTGTATACCTCACTACCTCCAGTGTATACCTCACTACCTCCAGTGTATACCTCACTACCTCCAGTGTATACCTCACTACCTCCAGTGTATACCTCACTACCTCCAGTGTATAAGTCACACCTCCAGTGTATACCTCACTACCTCCAGTGTATAAGTCACACCTCCAGTGTATACCTCACTACCTCCAGTGTATACCTCACTACCTCCAGTGTATAACTCACTACCTCCAGTGTATACCTCACTACCTCCAGTGTATACCTCACTACCTCCAGTGTATACCTCACTACCTCCAGTGTATACCTCACTACCTCCAGTGTATACCTCACTACCTCCAGTGTATACCTCACACCTCCTACCTCCAGTGTATACCTCACTACCTCCAGTGTATACCTCACTACCTCCAGTGTATACCTCACTACCTCCAGTGTATACCTCACTCACCTCCAGTGTATACCTCACTACCTCCAGTGTATACCTCACTACCTCCAGTGTATACCTCACTACCTCCAGTGTATACCTCACTACCTCCAGTGTATACCTCACTACCTCCAGTGTATACCTCACTACCTCCAGTGTATACCTCACTACCTCCAGTGTATACCTCACTACCTCCAGTGTATATACCTCAGTGTATACCTCACAGTGTATACCTCACTACCTCCAGTGTATACCTCACTACCTCCAGTGTATACCTCACTACCTCCAGTGTATACCTCACTACCTCCAGTGTATATACCTCACTACCTCCAGTGTATACCTCACTACCTCCAGTGTATACCTCACTACCTCCAGTGTATACCTCACTACCTCCAGTGTATACCTCACTACCTCCAGTGTATACCTCACTACCTCCAGTGTATACCTCACTACCTCCAGTGTATACCTCACTACCTCCAGTGTATACCTCACTACCTCCAGTGTATACCTCACTACCTCCAGTGTATACCTCACTACCTCCAGTGTATACCTCACTACCTCCAGTGTATACCTCACTACCTCCAGTGTATACCTCACTACCTCCAGTGTATACCTCACTACCTCCAGTGTATACCTCACTACCTCCAGTGTATACCTCACTACCTCCAGTGTATACCTCACTACCTCCAGTGTATACCTCACTACCTCCAGTGTATACCTCACTACCTCCAGTGTATACCTCACTACCTCCAGTGTATACCTCACTACCTCCAGTGTATACCTCACTACCTCCAGTGTATACCTCACTACCTCCAGTGTATACCTCACTACCTCCAGTGTATACCTCACTACCTCCAGTTTATAACTCACACCTCACTACCTCCAGTGTGGTCTGGTCAACATACACACTAGAAAGTGAAGGGACGACGACGTTTCGGTCCGTCCTCATCGACTTGAGAATGGTCCAGGACGGACCGAAACGTCGTCGTCCCTTCACTTTCTAGTGTGTGGTCTGGTCAACATTCTTCAGCCACGTTATTGTGACTCATCGCCTGCACCTCCAGTGTATAACACACCCGTCACTACCTCCTGTACGTACCCCACATCTCATTACCTCCAGTACGTACCTCACACCTCACTACCACCCTCATCTCCATCAATGTGTACCATCTCTGTAATGGCAACCACTTGAATTGAATTATTTCCGAAATTTTGGCAGCATCAGTGAAAAAAATTTGTCGTTCCTCAGAGCGTGGATGGGGGCTACGACGCTACGGAGGAGCAGTGTCCAGAGGGCACACTCTACTCCCCGACGCAACACCTCTGTGACTGGGAGAAGACTGTCTGTGCTCTCGGCAACGTCTGCCTCAACGACTGCGCCTAATTCCCCACTCTGCCTATATACACCGAAAGATGTATATTACCCTATTTATCGGTGTATATGCACTGAAAGTATACTTTGGTTCTGAATTATGTTCATGACTAAAATATACTCGAAAGTTTGTCAATAGGCTATTGCCGTGGACTTAATAACCCTCTCGAGATTGATAGACCTGAAGCCCCACTCCTGACCTCTCACCAGTGCCCGTAAAACCTATATAGATGGCCACACGTGCTGCCTGGCAGCTGAACCTAATAAACACTAGCTTTCTTTGTTTTTGTATCTCTATTTTGAAAGAATAAATAAAAGAATAAATAAAAGTTTCAATCACCGGATTCTTCTTTTGTTTCCTTTTTTTTCCAGTGGCTTGATCGGTTGAGTGTCCGCTCTGTTGGAAAAGCTCCTGCCTGAACCGTGCTCAAGCCGGCGTACCTCCGTCCGTACCGTGGGACGCTCTAGGGTCTCGAGCAACTCATCCTCCTAACAGCAAGCCGCATTTTAACGCATACTTTACCTAAGGCCAAAAAACTGTCGAACTAGAAAATGTTAGCGGCTTGCAAAACTAACATATCCCATTTTCCGTATGTGGGTCTTCCTGTAGGTTAGGGAAAGGCACTTTAGTACGACAGTTTATTGACGTTAAGAACGCTCACGAGAACGGCCTAGCTGAAGAGGCGGCGTGCTTGTACCAGGTTTATTTGGAGGGCGGGGGCCGGGGGTGCCATACGTCGTCCCGGTTCAATCCGAACGTTTGTATTTTGCAGTCTCTTGAGTTCGATTCCCGATTTTGCAAGTGGTCGAGCATCGTTCCTTCACTTCGTTCCCATTTCCCTCTCATAGTCCCCATGACATTTTTCGATTGGTATGTGGCATATTGGTTTAGCGCTTCTAATAATAATCACCCTACTTTAATTTTTTTTAGGGTGAACATGCAAAAAAAAAATTCTTTCCGTCCTTTATGAGAAAAGTTCAAAAGTTACATAGCTTCATGATGCACAAAATTGTGTCAAATAAATAATTCAGATACCGTATCAATAAAGACAATAAATAAAAATTACACGGAGAGTACAATTCAGTAGTGTAAAATACAGTACAGTACTGCACAGCACAGTACTGTACAATACAGTACAGTACTGCACAGCACAGTACTGTACAATACAGTACGGTAAAGATCAGTACAGTACAGTACAATACAGTAGTGTAAAGTACAGTAGAGAACAGTACTGTACAGTACAGTATAGTACAATACAGTACAGTATAGAACTGATCATTACAGTACTGTACAGGTCAGTACAGTACTGTACAGGTCAGTACAGTACTGTACAGGTCAGTACAGTACCGTACAGTACTGTACGAAGCCATGAGGATTATCCTCGGATGCCCCCGTACAACTAAATTTACTAAACATGAGGAAGGAACTGAATATTTCATGTGTAAGTGATCGTATCACTGAAATTAATGCTTTAATTGGTATCAAGATGCTTAGGCTAACCCACCCTAACCCCTCCACTGAAGCCCTCCAAGTCTTCTTCCTTGAAGGTCAGCATCCTTCCAAATGGATTACCGTAACTGCCAATGCAAAGATGTAAAGTTCCTTGTATAGTGACTGTTGTGAGCCTCTTGTGACACCTCTCTGTGTCACTTGTGACACAAAGATTATTGATGTGTGTATTTGTGTGGGTGATTAGATATGTGTGTTTATAAATCTTGTTTATCTGTATCTTTTGCTACCCAGTCTCCCAATCTTTATGTACCCAATCTGAACATCTTTACCATTGTGATCATTGCTGTCTTATATGTGCTGTCAATCTGCTGTATGGTGTCTATTAATCTTGTTTAAATTACTAATCAAGCTGTCAATGTAATCAATCAGAGCTTTAATATAACAATGTGCTTTAATATACTTACTAAGCTCTCTCATCTCATTTTTCTCTTGCAATGTATCTTTATCATTTATCAATTCTGATAGAAATTACCTACTTAAAATTATCTGCTAGATTAAGGACCTGCCCGAAACGCTGCGCGTACTAGTGGCTTTACAAGAATGTAAATACTGTACTATCCAATGTATTCTCACAAACCCAATGTACCTTCTTGTATATATATATATAAATAAGTAAATAAATAAATAAATAAATAAATAAATAAATGTATATGTGTATATGTATATATATATATATGTACATGTATGTATGAGGGTGTGTACATGTGTATAGAACATTGATAATTTTGTAAGTAGCGTCAAACATTGGTATTTGCTTAGCTAAACGAATTAGAGGGTTCAGTTCCTGAATCGATTATGTGCTTCTGTAATTCTTTACACCACCGCCCACGGGATGGGTATGGGGTGCATAATTATATTAATTATATTATTATATTATAATTATATTATAATTAGATATTATATATTATATATTATAATTAGATAATTATATTATTATTATTATATTATTATTATAATAAAGAAAAAAAATTGAATTTACAAGATTGTAAATTACCATGCTATGTATCCTCACAAACCCAATGTACCTTCTTGTATATATATAAATAAATAAATAAATAAATAAATAAATAAATAAATAAACTTGTTTTTCGTATACGAACCGATGGTATCCCAAACGGTAGTAGACGTTGTAGGGGTAGCCACTCCTGAGAACTGTGGGGGAAGGTCAGCCTGCGTGTTGTGTTTACTGGTGTACTGTGTACTACTGCGTACTGTCCTGGGTGTACTGTGTACTGGCCTGGGTGTACTGTCTACTACTGGAGTGTTTACCTGGACTACAATCCTTACCTGGGTGCCAGTCTCTCAAGTATCATGGTGAGATCCTGTTGTTGACTTATATACTGTATCCTGCTGTAGGACTGTATACTGATGTAGACTAATAAGACTTCTGTAGCGAACCTTGTTGTAAAATGCTGTGGTGTATCCTGCTGTAGACTGGCTGTGGTGTACCCTGCTGTAGACTGTGACTGGTGTACCCTGCTATAGACTGTGGTCTACCCTGCTGTAGACTGTGACTGGGGGTGTACCCTGCTGTAGACTGTGGCTGTGGTGTACCCTGCTGTAGACTGCGACTGTGATGTACTCTGCTGTAGACTGTGGCTGTGGTGTACCCTGCTGTAGACTGTGGCTGTGGTGTACCCTGCTGTAGACTGTGGTGTACCCTGCTGTAGACTGCGGCTGTGGTGTACCCTGCTGTAGACTGTGGTGTACCCTGCTGTAGACTGCGACTGTGATGTACCCTGCTGTAGACTGTGGCTGTGGTGTACCCTGCTATAGACTGCGACTGTGATGTACCCTGCTGTAGACTGTGACTGTGGTGTACCCTGCTGTGGCTGTGGTGTACCCTGCTGTAGACTGTGGCAGTGATGTACCCTGCTGTAGACTGTGGCTGTGGTGTACCCTGCTGTAGACTGTGACTGTGGTGTACCCTGCTGTAGACTGTGGCTGTGGTGTACCCTGCTGTAGACTGTGACTGTGGTGTACCCTGCTGTGGCTGTGGTGTATCCTGCTGTAGACTATGACTGTGGTGTACCCTGCTGTAGACTGTGACTGTGGTGTACCCTGCTGTGGCTGTGGTGTACCCTGCTGTAGACTGTGACTGTGGTGTACCCTGCTGTGGCTGTGGTGTATCCTGCTGTAGACTGTGACTGTGGTGTACCCTGCTGTAGACTGTGGTGTACCCTGGTTGATACCTGGTTGATGGGGTTATGGGAGCAGTAGGCACCCAGTGCCCTTAGTTTTGTCTGCGATTGACATATTTATCCGCCGGTGGAAGAATAATCGTGGAATTTACCATTTTTTTACTACAGCTGTATTGTTATACAACAAGATGTCTCAGGGACTTGCTAATAGTGACTTATTAATGCCAAAAATGAAGCAATATTTTGCAAGAACTAGTAGCAGAAAATCAACAAGTACAGCCGTACCCCAGCACGAGCACAGCCGTACCCCAGCACGAGCACAGCCGTACCCAGCACGAGCACAGCCGTACCCAGCACGAGCACAGCCGTACCCAGCACGAGCACAGCCGTGCCCAGCACGAGCACAGCCGTGCCCAGCACGAGCACAGCCGTGCCCAGCACGAGCACAGCCGTGCCCAGCACGAGCACAGCCGTGCCCAGCACGAGCACAGCCGTACCCAGCGCGAGCACAGCCGTACCCAGCACCAGTACAAGAGCAGCCAGCACCAGCTAAGAAGCAGCTGATGCAAACATCTAAGAACATCGTGTGTGGAGTGTACAGTTAGAATAAGTGTTAAATTTAAGTACATAGTGTTAGTGTTCAAATTAAGGTTGCAGTACAGTAATTTTAGTGTAAAATAATTTTCATAAACTGTATTGTAGTACTCGACATACAGCAGAACTACTTGTCAATACAGTGCTAACGGCATAATACAGTACATATTTACTGTACAGCATTCACAACTCTATGAGAATTCAAGATGGACATAACCCCAACAATAAGGTAAATAACAATTGTAACAATATTTTTTAGTGGAGTATTAATATATATGTAAAGTATATAATATGATAATGCATTTTTATTGTTTACAAGAAAAAAAGACACTGATGCAAATGCCTCTTGAAGGTCACCTCTTGCAACGAATCCAACGCTGCAATGCACCGGGGTTGGTCCCATATAGTGCGTCGAATCGAGGTTGTACTGTATCTAGTGTTGCAAAATCTGACGATTAATAATATTTTTTGCCCATATCTTTGAACAACCCTTCACACAGGAACTCCTGCATGAAGTACGTAATTATCAAACAAAACCACCAAGTGTCATGACATGAGTTGTCATAGCCTAGGCTACCTCCAGGTGAGAATTGTTCCTAGCCATTCCCTCCATAACTGAGGGTATATTCCAATTTAAGGATAGAATAAAAGGATAAAATAAATGTGTAGACAAATGTGATAATGTAGAAAATAAATATGAGAGATTGAGAGTCAATAGGAAATATTGTGAGGAGGAAGACTCCAGAGGTGAGGTGCTTCCTCCTGCATGAAATGGAAATGCCAGGGAGACCAGTAGGCCGGTGAATTCAAAATGAAATGGAGAAGAGTCTGGACCAGTCTCCTAAGACGGAGACTGACGTCACGCCGACAAGATGCCCGAGGGCTAGAAATCATCACTTCACCTCCTAGATTCGAGCGCAGCCGGACACCTGTATCTGTACCAGTTTTCTCGAGCTTGTTTCAGCAATCACAGACCCCGTGAGACAGCTGAACCAAATTAGGTCAAGGCTGGGACAACCAGGAAGAAGGTGTACTTGAAGATGCTGTTGTTTAATAGCCGAATTTGCTGAGATGATGAAGAAAGATGTGCCGAGGATGTGTCACATTGTGGTGACTGGGAGATTGACCCACCGAGGCGGTCGCGTGTCGTCAAAAAGATGATTTCCTCATTTGTCGCACCTCAATAAAAAGGTGGGGACAAAGTGCTACAATAAAATCACTGTGACATGGAGTCTACATCGAGGAACACACAGAAGGGGGAACGAAGACAGCCAGGAGCCGGAGAGAAGTAGCTCAGCTACCGACAAGTGTCTGATAATATCACTGACCAGTAGACAGGGACTGAAGATATGCACTGTGGAGGTACGCATATAAGGAGCAAAAGGTAAGGGTCTGTGGTGGTTTTTTGGTGAAACTTTAGTGGACACTGTGGAACTAAGAAAATTTATAGAAGCCAGAGGTCATCAGCTGAGAGGGAGGCTGTGAGGAGTGTTACCACGATAAAGGGCAAATTGTATGCTCAGGGTGTTGGGAGGAACCAGCCCTCAAAGTGGTACAGTACTTGTACTTTGAATTTTTACAAAAGGGAGGGCCAAGAGCTATTGTCCCAGATACCTAGTGAGGTCACCGAAGTCCTGTGAGTGAGAGGGACTAAAAGGGGGGTTTCCTGAACATTAGGGTTCGCGAGTGAGGTGGGGCCAAGAGCCGAGTACCAGGGCGTCAAGACTTATTCAAGCTTATTCGAGGTTGTACTGTAATATTCTTTTGTCTCAAATGTGTTAAGATGCAATTTTATCCCATCAGCTTCACGTTTATCCTATGGAGGCAATACAGTGGCACCTCAATTAACGAATTTAATCCGTTCAGGCACCGAGCTCGTTATGTGGAAAACTCGTCTTAAGAAACAAGTTTCCCCATTTAAAATAAAGGAAATAAATTGAATCCGTTTCACTCCCAAAAACATCCATACTTGTATGACATTTTATAATGTAAATACTGTATAATACTGCACATGTTATTATAAATGTTTTGTTGTAATGTTTTCATGTTTACTTTACCTTATGAAGAGTCGTTGCTGGCTTGAGGGAGACGATGGGGAGGTGGGAAGGAGGAGAGGGGTTATGGTGTGGAAGGAGAATCCACCTCTGAGTCGGGCGGGCTCTCTCCTTGGGAATTTCACCCCACTGGGACCGGGTTGTGGCTCACTATCACTGGCTCTTCTTTTCTCTACTTTTGTAAAGAACGAGTCTATTGACATTTGCTTTTGTCTTTGTTTTAGGATGCCCCTAAAACGAGACAGCAAATTGTCATTAAACATGTTCACACACCGGGTTGTCACTGCTTTATCAGGGTGATGCTTTTCCAAGAATGCGGTCACCTTTTCAAACATTCCCAACATTTCCCTGATCTCACTGGAAGAGGCAGCATCCTCCCTTACCTCCTCATCCCCTTACTAATGGTGCAAATTGTTGATGAGGACCTGCCATACTCCCTTGTGAGATCAGTCACAAAGACACCACACTCATGCTTTGCTATAATTTCCTTCTTCAAATCCACAGTAATTATCTCTTTCTTCCTCTTGACAACATTATCTTTAGCAAGCAGCTTCTTTGGCGACATCGTGCGTAACAAATTGTAGTCACAAAACCACAAAAAACAAAGAAAAGAACAAATAAATGCAGAGGGATGCTTGTCGTGCACGACACAACAACAAGACTGGCGTCAGAGGCATCCGAGAATTTGCGAGAAGCCGCGAGACACTAGGAAGCATCACGTGGTTTTGCTCGTTAATATAGGTGAAGCTCGTAAATAATGACAAATTTGCTGCGAGTGGCTCGCTCGTTACTCGAAATGCTCGTAAATAGAGCCGCTCGTTAATCGAGGTGCCACTGTATTTCAAAGAAATGCAAATGTGTTAGGATAGGAAAGTAGTACAGGAACCTGAAAGCAATACTGTGTACTAAAATTATTTATTTCATAATGAAATTAGTAATCTGTTTAATATACAGTTCTGGTATTGTACTATACAGTATATTATTTAGTGATTTATATTTTTACTTGGTCGAAAAAAATCTGTGTACACAGCCAAAATCTACCATGTCTACATTTGCAATTATATATATACACGTTTCATTCCAGTCCCTTGGCTGTCTCAAGTTACAGAAACTAAATTTGTTTACTGTGACAGCTGTTTTGTGTTTTTTCCAGGTAATGTATTTAATTGTAAATGTTGTTGTCCACAGATGTCAAGGAAAAGATCATCTGGTCCATACAGTTACGATGATGACGAAGATTATGTACCAACCAAGGGTGTGAAATACTCTGAGCGGGAGGACTTGATTCCTCAGAAAGAGAAGAAACATTCTTTAGATTCCGATGAAGAGGAGGATAATGAAGATGAGGATGATGAAACTGGTGGCAAAAATTATGATGTACTAAGAGATGAAGATATCGATGGTTAGCTTTTTTGTATTGCAAGTTTTTGGGTGTGTATTATTTGTGATACAGAAACTACCTAAACTGTAATTTAAGGGTTAGTGTTAGGGTTCCCTTCCTAGGTGCGTTCGGGATTACCATTTCTGTATGGGTTCTTGGTGCTCAGCATTTACCACACCCATAGGACCAGCTAGGGTTTCGTGGCCCTTGATTGGCCTTGGGTAGGGAGTGGTATCGTGCTGTTTGGGGCATCAAGGTGTTGTGCAGCCTGCCTACTTATGCGGTGGCCAATTTCTATTTCCTCTGGGGGGACGTTGTACTTTTGCGAGGTTTTTCTTTAGTTTTTGTTTTTCTTGCCTGGTGGGGCTATCGTTCCACCTGTATTATTTTGGTGGCCCTCTGCTAGGCCACTGTGATTGTACACGTTGCAGGGGTTTCAGTGTTTTGATTCCCCTTTGTTAGCTTTGGGTCTTAACCGGTTAGCAACACCTTGCCCGGGCATCCCGTAGCAGTCAGTCTATGGGCCCTGGAAAACCCTGTCGGGGCTCGGTGGGACAATGAACGCATCGTCTTCAGAGTTCCAGCCCTCCTTGTGCGGGTTTGAAGGTTGCCATTTGTCCTTGTGTCAGGGTGACAATCACCTCTTTTGCCTATGTCATCATGCTGCCTGTTGGGTCAACGACACCTTTGACCCGGAGTCTGAGTCATGTTCTCTGCTTGTTCTCCAGTACTATTCTGATGACATTATTGTTAGGGTTATCTTGAGATGGTTTCGGGGCTTAGCGTCCCTGCAGCCCGGTCCTTGACTATGCCTCCTTTTTGTAACACATCCCCAGGAAGCAGCCCGTAGCAGCTGTCTAACTGTGAGGTACCTATTTACTGCTAGGTGAACAGAAACATCAGGGTGAAAGAAACTCTGCCCATTTTTGTCTCCGCCTCCACCGGAGATCGAACCCAGAACCTCAGGACTACGAATCCGAAGTACTGTCCACTCAGCTGTCAGGCTTCTCAACAAGATACAGGCAGTGTCTGCATTGCATGTTAGGTTTAAGTTGCTGCAACGCGCAAGGTTGGTTTCCCACCCTGATGCCCCACTTTGGTTATAGGGACCCAGACGTAGGGGAGTTAGTCGCTTCGACTTTGGTTCAGTCCGTGTTCCCTGGTCCTTCCTCTGCTGTTCATCCTGCACCTCCTTACCCCCTTCCCCCTTGCTTCTGGCTCCCCGAACATCAGAGGATTTCGAAGTCTGAGCAGGGTTTAGTTGGTAATGAGACTGGCAACGTCGGGGGCTGCCCCATTCTGGTTGGGGACGGGGACATTCGAGTTGGTTCCCTCCTGCCGAGGATTCTGACCCCATCAGTAGGCCCTCTTCTTTTCAGCTTTTTCCCTTGGACTCTGCCTTTTCTTCAGGGGTGGAGGGTACGGAGGACTGCTCTCTCCCGGGTCCTGACTTAGTGGATCCTGTGGCTGATGAGGAGTCGACCTGGGGGGGGCCCTGGGCCCCCTTTGACCCCCACTTGGGTGTTAGTGCTATCTTTGTGGGGCTTATTGTTGCAGGGGGAGGGGTTTTCTTATCCCCCTTTTTTGTTTGAGTATGATTAGAGTTTGGCTCCTCCCAGGTTAGGTTCCGGGCTCCCTTGGGTTCCTTAGCCCCATCCTTCCGGATGTTTTCTGCCTCTTGTATCTCCTTTGTCTCCTCCCAGTGACTATAGGAAATATTGCTGGAACAAACGGGGACATCTTCAAGAGAAAACTAGACTGTTTTCTAAAAGAAGTTCCGGACTAACCGGGCTGTGGTGGGTATGTGGCCTGCGGGCCATTCCAAGCAATAGCCTGGTGGACCAAACTCACAAGTCAAGCCTGACCTCGGGCCGGGCTTGGGGAATAGAAGAACTCCCAGAACCCCATCAAGCAGGTATCCTCTCGGGAGGTTTGGGAGGTTCTTGCTGTGTACCAATTGCGAGACCCGGATTCCTCCCGCTATGGATCCGTCCTTATTTGAGTTTGATTTTTCTTCCCCGTATTGGGTGCATTTGGAGGTTCCGGAGTCTTACTGGCTGGCAGACTGCCCTCTCTTTTTGTTGGGGGCGTGGCATGGTCCCACACGCTTGAGTGGCGCGAAACATCTACCGTTCTGCAGGTTTACCTGGGGGGCGAGTTTGAGCGCCGTAATGCATGCTTGTTCGCCCCTGTGCTTTCTAGGGATGTTGTCCTTGTGCCGGGTCTTCGTCTGGTGTGCTGTCGTCGACGGCAAGGGCATCAGCCATACTGTTGAAGCTGTTTGCACCTATCCTGAAGGTTGTGGTGTGTCTGTTTTTTTGCTTTTTGCCTTGCGTGCTGTCAGGCTGTGCTTGCTCTCTTTGGAATCCGCTTGGGCCCTGGCTCTTAGATTTTCATCTCCATTCTGTCCGTTGCTGTTTGCAGAGGCTGCTGTCATGCAGTTTCTGCAATCGGCTTCGTGTAGTTGTTGTCCTATGTCGGACTTGTTGGTTCTCCAGGGCAACCGTTCTTGGCCTTCTCGGAAGGGTCGTGCCAGGGCTCGGGGTTTAGCTGATCGAGGTGGGCCATTGGTTCCAGTTTCTAAGTCGCCGTTGCCTTCGGAGTGGGCTTCGTCCAGGGCATCTGAGGCTTCTCATAAGGGGCATAGGTCCTTTTGCGGGGAGGGGGGGGGTAAAAGCTCACACTGTTTGCTCGCGCTTCGTCCCACTATTCGTGGGCGTTTTCAGTTGTGTTATCCGGCCTGTGGTGGCATTGGATGGCTCCTCTCCCTTTGGAGGGTTTGAGGCTAGCAGGGTAGGCTTCTTCCCCTGCGCTTCGTAAGGTCATCTTGGAGTGGGTGCACTTGGGCATGGTCGAAACGAATTCATCCTTCACGTGGATTCCCGCCTGTTTCCAGTGCCGAAACGTGACTGTGCGGATCTGAGGTTCATTCTGGACTTGTCCCATCTAAACCTCTGGATTCTTTGCCCTTCCTTTCAGACGACCACTCTGTCTCTAGGTCCAATTTCTTTTGGAGACGGGCGCTTGCATGGTGTCCCTGGACCTCAAGGACACTTATTGGCACATTAATATTTATTTGAGGTTCAGGGATTGGTTAGGTTTCCTGGTGGGGTGTCAGGCTTACCACTTTCGTTGCATTCCCTTTGGCTTGAATCTGGCACCTCACCTATTCATAGGTCTTACCCGGATCGTGGTGACCCATTCTGCGTCTGCTAGGGGTTCGGGTCCTGGCCTACCTTGATGACTGGTTGGTGTGGGCTCCCAGTCGGTCCGCTTGTTTGCTCACTAGGGGTGTGGTTCTATCCTAGCTCGCCGGGTTCCGGTTCCTGGTGAACTGGAGGAAGTCTCATTGGTTCCGTCCCAGGTTTGGACCAGGCTGGGTCTTGTTTGGGACTCTCGGACCGCTTCCATGTCTCTCCCTCCGGATGCGTTGCTGTGGCTACGGTCCTGCCTTTGGATGTTTCTGGGGTGTTGTGGGGGGTGTCCCGGGTCACTCGGTGATTGCTCAAGCAGTAGTGCAAGGGTTTGAACTTCGCCGTGCTGGTCTACCCGCTGGGTCCAGTTTGGCTTTGGCGTCTGTTCTGGTTTCTTCAGGGACTCCCCCTCCCTTCCGCTTCTCTCGCAATCACTGGGTTCATTTTCCGGGGGCCTTGCGTCGGTTGCTGCATCGCTGGGTTCATCCTCCGGAGGCCTTGCATCGGTTGCTGCGTCGCTGGGTTCGTCCTCCAGAGGCCTTGCGTCGGTTGCTGCGTCGCTGGGTTCGTCTTCTGGGGGGGGCCTTGTGTCGGTTGTTGCGTCGCTGGGTTCGTCTTCTGGGGGGGTCTTGCATTGGTTGCTGCGTCGCTGGCTACTTCTTCGGGGTTTTCGGGGTTCAGTGCCTTGGCGCCTACCCGAGCCCTCACTCGATGTGTTCATGGACGTGTCGTATCTTGGCTGGGGCTTTGTGACCAGTGCTCACCAGGCCGGCCAGGGGAGATGGGTTCCGTCCTTCTGTCACGCTCGCAGCACGGTGAGTGCTGAGGCTGTCGTGGTGGACACCTTTTGGCAGGACTTGTCGAGGTGGGGTTACCTCTACCTCTTTCCCCCAGTCCAGCAGTTGCTTCGGGTTCTGACTCGGTTAGAGCCCTACCAAGGGAGAGTAGTCCTCGTGGTCCCTTGGTGGCCGGCCCAGCTTTGGTTCCTGGCGCTGCTTGCTCGGTGTGTGAATCCTGAACGTTTCCTGCAGCTCCGCCTCTTCCAGCAGATCGGACCAGTACGGTACACAGCTGGTTCAGTCGTCTCCTCTGCTCTTCGCGTCTGGTCTTTTTGACGCGGGTTTATCACTGTTTGTGTGGTGATCAGGTGGCTTCGTTGATGGTGTCCCGCCCGAGAGCTTCGTCTGGGCGATAGTTTGAAGTTTCGTGGTATTCTTTCCGCCATTTTCTCTCTTCATAGGGTGTCTTCTATTTGTGATCGGGTTGTCTTGTCCTTTCTGTCTTGGCTTTTTCAGGACTGTCATTTGATGTCTAATACTGTCGCCTTGTATCATGTAATGCTGGCAAAGCAACTCCAGCTTGCATTCGGGGTGGATGTCTCTTCTGCCCCGTTCTGTAAGCGTTCTCATGCTTTGTTTCACCTCCAGCCTGCTCATGCGCTGCCTGAGCCGTCCTGGTCCTTTGACAGGGTGCTCTCCCATCTTTCCTCTTCTCAGTTTGTGGTGGCCCCTTCGGTTCAAGATAGTTTTTCCAAGGCTCTGTTTCTGTTGGCATTGGCCTCTGGGGGTTAGATCGTGGAGCTTCATGCTGTCCTCCAGCGCAGGGGTTTCTGCTCTTTCGATCCTGGTGTTAGATTGTTCGATTGCAGCTTCTCCTTTTCTGGCGAAGAATGAAACGGGTGCTTTCCAGAGGGGTCCTTGGGTCATCGATGCTTGATTAGTCAGGAGGGGGATGCATCATGGGTTGTGTTCTGTTGCGGGTCTTTGCTGTTATCTGCACGCTTCGGTGACTGGGGATGCGCTTTGGGTTGATCGAGTTTCCCTTGTT